GGCCGCAGGCAGGTGAGTGCACCTCCCTCGGGGACCGCGTGCACTGGGTCCCGCAGGGGCCTGGGCGCCCCATCCTGGATCCTTTCTCCACGAGAAATAAATACACGCGAGGCCAGGACAGCCTCTGTCGTCCCCAAGGCTGAGTCTCAGAGCCTGCAGCTCCCTCTGGCGGCCTTCAGCGCGAGTGTTCCATCAGCCGCCCTGTCCCTGCGGCCATCCCTGCTGAGACGCTGAGGACATGAGTTACTCGGGCGGACACTGTCCGGTGTGGTCGCACAGGTTCTGTTGTGTGACAGCAATCTGCTTCGTGGTTTAATGTTCCTTCTCCGGCTAATGTACCCGCAGGTCACCCCGATCCCCTTCCTCCCGTTCCCCATCCCTGAGTCTAAGCTTCCTGTGTGGCTGGCACTGCGCCTGCCCTGTCCCCACCCCCACCTCTGCCGCCTCCGCACAACAAGGCCCCCCATTCGGCCAGTGTCACCTCGGTTGGCCCAGGTCAGCATCCTCATCACCAGGTAGAACCACAGGGGCCGAGGCCAGTGCAGAGCCTGGGCTGGGACAGCCCTCGCTCAGTGGTTCCCGACTGTGGCCTTTGGCCTCTCCCAGCCCAAAGGAAGCAGAATCTCTTGCTGGGCCCAGGATGGGCCCTCTCTGCGTCCCTGGGAGGCCGATGTCCACTGTAGACTGAGAGTCAGACACAAACCCTCGCCGGGCAGGGTGGCGCCTCCAGGCTGGTCCTGCAGAATCCCCCTCACGCTCAGCTCAGTGTGCAGACCTCACCGGGTTCCCGCACTCGCTGCTGCAGGAGGGGGAGCAGGGAGCTGTGTCGGAAGCTCCTGAAGGGGGGTGCCCTGGAAGAGCGAGGTGCCTGGCCGCGTCACTGCCACTGCAGCGGCCTGAGGGGATGGGCGTTGACGGAGCCTGAACCTGCCACACCTGCTCTGGAGACACCCTCCCCTGAACCCCAAACACACACACATGCACACATGTCTATGCGCACCAAATATATGTGCACATACATGCACTGCACCTGCATGCACATGTGCACACACACACGCACACACAGGCCCCGGGAGGGAGAGCCTGGCTGGCCGGGAGGCCCATGAGGGCCTCTGGCATGTGCACCGCCCCACTCATCCCGCTCCCTTGCAAGGCCGTTCATCGCGAAGCCCCGGGGAGGGCCCTGGACCTCTGGGATGCGGTTCAGGGGCGAACCTCCAAGGGACACAGGCTGAGAGCGAGGGACCTTGGGCGAGGACAACAAAGCAGAGACTGAGAGATCAGACACAGAGATGGCTGAGCCACGGATGCCGAGAGGCAATAGGAGGCCCCGTGGAGCTGAGGCCACCAGCACCACCTCGCAGACCCGCAGAGGGTGTGGCCTCTGGGGACCGTTAGGGGACAGAAGCAATCTGGGTGAGGGGCTGGGGGGGGGAGGCCAGCACAGCTGCCTCTGAGGAGGTGGCAGCATTCAGAATGACCTTCCCCCTGAGCCCACCCTAGTTCTCCTCTGCTAGTCGCCCCCCTTCGCCCCCTACGCCTGGTTCTCCGGCTGGGCCAGCAGTGGGGAGGGGGAGGGGGAGGGGGAGGCGAGCGGCAGGCACAGCTGCTGCTCCCAGCCCGTCCTGGCCTCCGCAGGGCAGCTCTGGTGGCTGCCCCCCAGCGAGGTGCAGCACCTGTCCTGCTGTTACCCAGCTGGGGTGCCCCGTCCTCCTGGCTCTGGGCCAGGTGCTGTGCAGGGCGAGGGGGGACTCCCCCACCTCTACCCCCCAACCCCATCCCATGCCTT